ATTGTCTTGCCACTATTTTAAACCACTCTGTGACCGTGAACCTGAGGGAGGTGAACGTGACATACTTAAGTCACCGCCCTATGAGTTGTGTCTTTGAATGGTTTTGTAGTGGAGTGGTGAAAGTTATTACTCGAGCGTTCAGTTCCAAAGCAGGATAAAGAAATTGATATTTAGCTGACAAACAGATTTAGTTCCAGAAATCAAAGCGATCAGTAAAAAGAATGAAAATAAAAGCATAAGGTCCTCCTTCACCAACCCAAAGATCCTACCATTCCATTTACTATGCCCTTGACTATCTTCGTGCTGTTGCTTAATTGTGCACGTCCACTTTTTAGCCCCACGAGCCGCCCCTGTTTGCCATTATATATATATACAGTCAAACCTGTGTAAGACGGCCACCCATTGTCAAGGAGAAAATGGCTGTATAAGACAGGTGGCGTCTTTAGCAGGACTGATCAAGATGAAGAAACAAATCATTCCCATCTGAAGTCCCAATCGAAAGTAGCTGCATTGTTGTTGTTTTTGTTGTTGTTGGTTTGCATTTTGTTTGTTATATATTTATTTTGTTGCTGATTTTGCACAAGGGTGACATTAAAACGAAATGTATTAGACGAGGAAGACCGAGTGCCATAGTTAAAACAAACGCATGGGTCGCCACCACTGGGAGAACGAGAGACGCTTCTGTCACAAGTTCATGTTGACGTCCATTGTTACTGTGTTACAGACTGGGTAAACAGTGACTACTCATCTCACATACGATTTGTGTATGAGTTCTTGGCGGGGGCTAGTGGGTTATGAGGGATCACATGCTTACCTCACCAGCAGCTGAAAATTGGTACCTATTGGTCAACAGTGGGAGGGGCCTACGCAACATGATCGGTTTGAGAGACTACCTTACAACAACAAGTGATTGGATTATGACAGCTCGCCCACAACGCCAGGGGCCAGTGCACAATTTATGACAAAACGTAATGGAGTCACAAAGGTGGTCGTCTAAGACAGGTATTATTGCTTAGTGTGATAGGGGTTGTGTTTTAAAATATGGTGGCCGCGGCCGCGTTGGACAGGTGCCCGTTTTACACGGTTAAATTATATAGAAAAAACGCAAGGGGGAAGTGGAAAGTGGCCGTTTGTACAGGTGACCGTCTTATAGAGGTGGCCGTCATGGCAGGTTTGACTGTATATATATATATATATATATATATATAGAGGTGGAAAGTGCGCGTTTGTACACGTGAGCGTCTTATAGAGGTGGGTGTCTATGTATATTATGTATATATATATATATAGATATATAGATAGATAGATAGATAGACAGATATATAGATAGATAGATAGATAGATAGATAGATATATATATATATACATATATATTTTTATATACATGCATTTATATATACTCATTGACTGCCTTCTTGGAAATTTGATGACAAGGTATAATGCAGTAACAAAACTCGATTTGTTATTTAGTGTTTTATGGAAATATCTCCAAGAGGAAGTCGGCGTTATTCGTGATCTTGCAAACAAATTGCACACGGAATATGCAGTGGATGCATCAGCAGATTTTGCGCAAGAGTTAGAACAATTGAAAGTGATTCATTCAGCGAACATTGGAGAAAATGTCCAGCCGCCTCTTCAGTTGCTGAACAGACTTCATTTCCTGAAACTAGATGCTTTGTTTCCAAACGTTGTAATCATATTGAGAATTTTCTGCACCTTGCCAGTCACAGTTGCGCAAGCTGAACGTTCCTTCAGTACCCTTTCTCGGGTGAAAAACATTTTGCGGCCCACAATCTGTCAAGACAGACTCACAAAGCTTGGAATTTTGGCAATAGAGGCCAGTCTAGCGTGAAAATTTGACTACGAACCAATAATTGACAGTTTTGCTAGAGCTAAATCCCATAGACTCCGTTGTAGTAAGAAAAAAAGGTAAGCTATATTACAATTTATTTTAATTTCTGTCATTGGTTTATTCATCTTACCTTCATTTTTTAACTACCCGGTAAATCAGAAAAATAAAATTTTTATGTTGACAACACCCAGCACTTGATGGAGGGGGACGAGACAAAGGAGGCTGGGTGTGGCAGGGGGGGGGGGGGGGTAGCTTTTATACAGACATTTCTTTCACAAAATGCATTTCCAAGTAGTGAAGATGTGTGTGTGTGTGTGTGTGAGAGAGAGAGAGAGAGAGAGAGAGAGAGAGAGAGAGAGAGAGAGAGAGAGAGAGAGAGAGAGAGAGAGAGAGAGAGAGAGAGAGAGAGAGAGAGAGAGAGAGAGAGAGAGAGAGAGGGAGAGAGAAAGAAATAGGAGAGCGACCGACCGACCAACCAACAAACCAACCGGCAGGCCGGTCGGCCGGGCGGCCGGGCGGGCGGCCGGCCTTCCGGCAGGCAGGTCGGCCGGCAAACAAGCAGAAGGAGAGAGGTTTTTTTTGGTGAGGAGGGGGGGAAAAAAAA